AACGCCACAAGGAACCCAAGAAGGGCTCCCACAGGACATACATTAACATCCCACAGCACTTTCCAGTATACATTCCTGTTGGTTTTGGTATTTTACTCTTTTGAGGGGCCCACCACTCAGCTCCCAAAGAAATCACACATAAAGACTTATTCTTAATTATGATTGCCCAGCCTTGGCTGGGTTGTTTTCTAGCTAGCTTTTTAAAAATTATCCCATCACCCTTCTGCCTCTGGGAATTTAATGTTCTCTTACTTCTGTAGATCTTACTCTTAGTCTTACTTCATTGCTGGCTGGGTGGCTGGCCCTTAGCATCCTTCTCTCTCTCTGGCTACTACTCTTTTTTCTTCCAGATTTCTCCTTCTATATATTCTCTCTGCCTGCCAGCTTTGCCTATTTCTCTCTCCTCCCTCACTATTGGCCATTCAGCTCTTTATTAGACCAGCAGGTGTTTTAGACAGGCACAGTAATACAGCATCACAGAGTTAAACAAGTGCAATATTTGTAACACACCTTAAATATTCTACAACACATTCCCTTGTGACTAAGCATTCAAATATATGAGCTTATGGGGGCCATTCTTATTTAAACCACTACAGCCCCTACTCATTCCAAAACATACCTGTATATTTCTGATATGGCCCTTAGTGATGAACCCTTCAACACTGGCTCAGTGTTCTTCATATGTTATCAAATACAGAAAATTCAAATTACACTACATGGTAAATTCCATGCAAATAGATGATGGGTAGATTGCTAGGCCAGTGAAGCTGCTCCTGTCAGAGTTTGCATCACATTGACTTGTATTGTAACCACCTGGCTGTGCCTATTTCATCTTTAAATGTCTGAATATATGGTGGAGAGAAGCTAAGCCCATGAAAAATGGATAAAAGAAAGGTGCTCCTCAGCCTACAATTGGGATATATCTTGATCAACATTATAAGCTGAAAAATTCTAAGTTTAAGATGCATTTGATGCCCTTATAAACTCATTGTAAAGTCAAGTACCATGCTAAATTAGAGAGGCAGGACAAAGAATATATTTATGTAATCTCAAACAATCTTTCTATAAAGATTTTATGGACCAAGAGGAAAGTGGCAATTTTATATCCAAAAAGACTATCAGAATTCACTTTAACTGCATAAGCAAATTTTACACAATCAATATTCAGTTAAAACACTAATTGATATTAGGTACTTCCCAACATAATGAACTTATAAGGCCATAGCATCATATCTATGATATTCTTACCCAAAATGCACTTTAATAAATTATCAGAAAATACCAGACAAATCAAAACTGAAAAGCAATCTACAAAACAATTGGCCAATCATCATCAATAATATCAGGATCAGGATCAAGATCACGGAAGATAAAGACCAAGGTCCTGACCCAGATTGAGAAAAGTAAGGAAATGCAATTATCAAGTGTGTTCCCCTCATAGGTTCAGAAGCTTGGGCACCAATGTGGGGACAGAGAAGTGGGGAAACCCTACAAATATGTGGCCTACCACTCAACAGCAGGGAAATCATGTTTGGTACTAGAAACCTAGCCAACTACCTGGGGCTGGGGAGGTCATGGATCTTAGAAAAGAATCCAGTACTGCCGCTTACTAGACCAACATTATTCCTAACTACATTCTAAATCTTCTCCTTATACCACAGATAAGTGTGACTCTCATCCAGCATCAATGAATCTTCTCTTCACAGCAGACAGAGACCATTACAGAAACCACAACTGGTCATAGTACAGAGAGCAATGGAGCATGTGGAGCCCAGCCCTAACAGATACATCTACCACACAACTCCTGTACCTAAGGCTCAGTGAACAGCTAGGAAGAGGTGAGTAGATTAACTGTAAGAGCCAATAGACTGGAAAGTCTGCTGTGAGATTGTGTCTTTTTAAAAAAAAGATAAGGAAGGTGTGCCCATGGTACCTCAACAATGTGCTGGTTTGAACAAGATATTATCAAAAGACTTGCTAAGAGAGAAAGGAGAAATATCAGAGGCCCCAAATCCAGACAAAGAACTACAGGCAACTAATGACTGCTAGTAAAGGGAGAAGTGGCTTCTTCCAGGGATAAGCCCCCTAATTAGTTATCCAATACAAAGTGATCAGCCCTGAAATCATATACACCCAAGCCACACTAAACAGACTCAGCAGGTTGTATTTATATGTTTATGAATATATAGATGTATATGTAATAATAATAAATAAAAAGAGTCCATCAATTTAAGAGGAAGTGAAAGGAAGTTATCATGGTAAGGGTTGGAGGAAGGAAAGGTGTCAGAGGCTAACTCTGACCTGTCAAAGGGTTCTTGGGGGGTGGAGAGAGGAATGAGGAAGTATTCAATAGAAATATAGACAGAGATAATGAGAAATACAGAAACACAGGATAGCTTCAGAAAGGCCCTGGGTCAATACCCAGTCCCCCTGAGTTTAATCATGATGGGCTTTTTATACATCAGCAAGGGGAGAAGCAAAAGATCCCCCCACCCAAGGTCAAGGTAAAAAGTAGTAGACCCTTCAAAACACCTGGTAACCACACCCTTGGCCAAATCATTCTATTATGCAGCCCTGTTAGGCAAAGCAAGCTCAGACTTTCTGACCTCAAGTAAGGCCTTACTACAAAGTCCCTGTGGGCCCCCACAGATTTCCCCCTTCTTTATCACATAAATAATCCCTCAGACTCCTCAGATGACTATGCCTGTCTTAGGTTGCCTTCTTCAACCATCCAGTCTTACCAGTCTTTGGAACACACTTTCCACCAAGTGTGCCCTGTCTTAGGTTGACAGCAGGCAAAAAGGATTCATCCATCTTTGGCTACCAGCCTCTGGCAAAGGAAGGTACAGAGCCTAACTCCATGCAACTCTGAAGCAGCTTTTCCACTAAGAGCTTGCAAATAGCTGAAATAGTCATAGCAATACACCTGCTCCTTATGGCTGCTATACCTCCTAGTAAAGGAATAGAGGATGATCAAGATAGAATGGCCCTTTTAATGGGTCCAGGATGTCTATAGCATTTTTACCTGCCTCAAACCTTTTTTAAATCAATTAACTCCTAATGCAACTGCATCAAATAAATCAATAAACTCCTAGTGCAACCACATCAAATCTAAGGACTCCTTAGCACCACCATCCCTTGGTTGATTAGCATTACCAGGTTAACATCATAATTCTAGTATGAATATTACTATACACAATTACAATTCTCACAAACTTACATCAAAAGCCAACTCTTTTTTGTTGTTGTTTTTGAGACAGAGTTTCTCAGTGTAGCTTTGGAGCCTTGCCTGGAACTCACTCTGTAGCAAAGGGTGGCCTCATACTCACAGAAATATGCCTGCCTCTGCCTCTCAAGTGTTGGGATTAAAGGTGTGTGCCACCACCTCCCAGCTAAAAAGCAAACTCTTAATAGAACTATTTATACTTCATAAACTTTAGCAAACATCCAAAAGTAATTTCTTAATAGAACTATTTACACTTCTTGCTAACAAAACATAGGGTACATTAATACAGGATAACATTATCCATACAAAGAATAAGAAAATGTTTCTGCATTTGAGCTTCTCCAGTCTAGCAGCAAAAACTTTATCCCAACTCCTACTCATTCCATTCCTGTACAAAACAGTTCCACAAAACAGTTCCATTCCTACACAAAACAGTTTGTGAGTCTCCATAGTTAATAAAAGTATATATGCATACACAAAACAAGACAGAGATGATGAGAAAGACAGAGACACAGGATAGCTTCGGGAGGGCCCTGGTCAATACCTAATCCCCCTCCCCCCCCAGTTTAATTCCAATGGGCTTTTTATACATCAGCAAGGGGAGGAGCAAAAGACCTCCCCCTTTCAAGGTCGAGGTATAAAGTACCAACAAGTGTATGCCTTCAAAACACCTGGTAACCACACCCTTGGCCAAATCATCCCATTATGCAGCCATACTGGGCAAATCAAGCTCGGACTTTCTGACCTTGAGTAAGGCCTAACTAGGGAGCCTCTGTGGGCCCCCACAGAAAGGGAAGGAGAAAAGCAATTTAATTATAGTTTAATTATTTATGTAATTATACTTAATTTTTAACATTTAATAAATGATATTTTAAAGTGTGGTCTAAGGTATTGAGGCACCACCCTCACAAAGAGATTGATGCTGGTCTGAAAGAGTGGATTGGTCCTGTGACAGTGAGTTGGGCTTTTTTCATTTACATATTTTATTTGAAAATGTTTATAACAGTACAGTGAAACTAAACTCCAGAGACAATGGCTGTCATTAGTTTGGGCATCATCAGTTTATTATAAAAGGGAGGCATGGAAATTATTTACATGATGAATTGTTCAGACCGTCAGCGGAATGGGCAGCTTCATGTGACACCATTTTAACAGTGATTTCATTCCACATACTTTCCAAGAATGTCACCATCTCTAAATAAGAAGTGATCCTTGTCGTCTAGAACTACTTTGGTGCCTCTGGATTCTGGGAGAAGAACTTTGTCTCCGACTTTCACACTGACTGGCTGAATCGCTCCACCCTTGCCTTTGGTTCCTGATCCCACAGCCACCACTGTGGCTTGCAATACTTTTCCTTGAGACTTTTCCGGAAGCATGATGCCACCTTTGGTCACGGTTTCGGCGGCACTCCTTTCAACCAGTACTCTGTCAAAGAGCGGGAGAAACTTTCTGAAAGCCTGTCCAGCCATGACTCGTGCCGCCGAAGCTTGGACTCTGCACCCGAGGCCGCCACTGCAAAGAGAGGAGTCCTGCGGGCCCGGCTGGGGGACACGTGGAAAAAAAAAAAAAAGCAACAGTGAGTTTTAATAAAGAATAAGCTCTGCTTCCTCCTCAGTCTCCTGCTTCCTTTTCTACACTGTAATATCTTTCTGGATTTCCTACACATGCATACCCCCATTACCATGGTGTGTCCAGAAGGCCCTCACCTTGGACTAACAGATGGGATACTAGACTTTCCACTTCCACTAACTAAATCTCTTTGACTTTAAAGTATCTGATGTCAGAAACCCTGTTACAGCAACACAACATAGGTAAGCCATCATTTGAAATGTGTGGTCCTAAGACAGAAGCTAGATATGAAAAGGACATTAATACGATAGTTTGTGAAATCTGGACAAATATACAAACTAAATAATGATAGTATGGTTTATTTCCTGTCAGGAAATAGCAGAGATAGAACTGGAAATGGTTCTGCCATCCCTCAAGAGTTCCTTCCACTAGGCAACACTGCCTCAGAGATCTAGAGCAACCATACCAGAGCCCCACCGCCCACAAAGTCTAAGGACAAAAGCACAAAAGCATAAAAGATTCTCAATATCAGCAAATTACTGTTCTACGATGTTCACAAAAGTCACTCTGCCCAAAGTTAAAAACTGTCATGTTGAAGAATGTAACACATCATTTCCCTTCCCTAAGTCTTTAGTAATGACTGTAATGGTTAATATTTGATGAGCAATTATCATTGCCAATTACTGTTTCCAGTTCTCTTAGCTCACTCAATTCTTGAGACAACCCTATATTACAGAGACATTATTACTCTAGCTTTGCAGTTGAAGAAACAGTTTAAGCTTTTGTCCACAAATCACACAGTTAAGGGATGACATGACAACCCTGTCAGATAAAATTAGTCCAAGATCTCTTTCCTATCATTTTTGCCTCTCCTATAAATAGTCTACACCTCCTTTCCAACATCCCCCTCCATCATCTTCCTTTCAGACCTTCAGGAAATCTCATTTCAAATAGTTGAATGTCAAACAGGATTGTGTCAGTCCCACTATAAAGTGTTCATTCCACTCAAAGAACTGCACTTGAAGGTATTGAGAACAGGACAAGATAAAAAGAAAAGATCTAGTCGGTGCCTTTATTTTTTAATGATTTTTAATAATTTATTTAATTTTATTTTATGTGCATTGATGTGAAGGTGTCAGAGCCTCTGGAATTGGAGTTACAGACAGTTCTGAGCTGCTATATGGTTGCTGGGAATTGAACCCAGGTCCTCTGGGAGAACAGTCAGTGCTCTTAACCACTGAGCCCTTTCTCCAGCCTCTAATCAATGCCTTTAATATGCTTACCATCTCTTCAAAGATCTCCTTTACGTAAAGAAGAGACTTTCTTTTCAGTTCACAGGGATGTGATGGAGTATGGATCCTACTCCTACCCTATCAGGGCTGAAGGATATTGGGGGTATGTCAAGTGAACATCATATGAGTTGCTTGCTCAAAATTGCTTGGCCTCTATGGTTTAAATATGAAATGTCTCCCACCTGTTTGAACACTTGACATTCAGTTGGTGGAGATGTTTGGAGAGGCAGAAGATCTTTGAAAAGCAAGCAGCTGGCAGAGGTAGGTCACAGGGGTGAGCCTTTGAGGATGATAGTCTAGCCCACATCTAACGCAAGCTCTCTCAGCTCCCTACCTGTAACCACAACACAACCACTCGGTCACAACTCTGCTGCCATGGGCAGGAGCCAGTCTGCCACCTTGACTTCCTCCTTCTCCACTTGTTGCTTCTCTTGGCTGTTCTAGCACAAGAAAGGTAACTGAAATAGAACCATCGTAAGAGATTCCTCAGATGAGAAATGTTAGTTGGTAAATCATTCAACTGTGCCTCTCCAATGATAGCATTTTCTTCTTATACAGAGAAAGCCTTTGATTTAACACTAGTAATAATGGGAATGTGAACTGCCATGCCCCCTTTGTGTTAACTTCTATTGCTGTGAAATAAAAATAAAACACCTAAATGAGGGACAGGCATGGTGGCACACACCTTTAATCCCAGCACTTAGGGAGCAGAAGGAGGGAGATCTGAGTCCAACCTGGTCTGCACAGTGAGTTCCAGACCAGCCAAAGCTACACAGTGAGACCTATCTCAAAATACAAACAAATAAACAAAAGAAAACACCATAAAAGAATAAATATTTACTATGTTCACTCAAAATTTCTGAAGTCCAGTCTACGGTTGCTTGGCTCTGTTGTTTCTGGGTTTGTGAAGATGGAATCTGTGGCAGAGGGTACAGTCAAAGACAGCAATTCACCTAGTGGAACTGGGATGTGGAGAGAGAGATCAAGAGAAAAAAAGAGACTAAGAAAAAGATACATCCCCCATTGTTAAGTTGGGGCTCTCATGATCCAGGCATTCCCAAAAACCCACCCCTTAACATTGCTGAATTAGAAACCACGTCCTCAGTACCTGAGCCTTTGTGGATATGACAGATCTAAACCACAATACTAAATAACCCTGTTTTGCGGTAAGCCCCAGAGACCACCATACAGGCACTCTTAATACTGAAAAAAAAAAAGTCTTTATTGCTGGCCAGTGGCTACAAGGGGAACCTTCTTAAATCATGCAGCCCTGAGCTTCAGAGCCCTTTGTCTTTTGTGCACAAAAAACACATCATGGTTGTCACACTTCAGTTAGCAAGAAGCAGAACTCCAAAAGCCAAAAGGCAAGGTTTGTCCATTTAGGGACCTTCCTGGAACTATGGACTACATCGTTAATGAATTAGGTCTTAGTTCCTGTTTCAGCAGGTGTTGGGGCTTGCATGCTGGGTTTTAAGTTCAGAAGAGTATCCGTTTTGCTAGGGTCTGTGGGCCTTTTAGAACAAAACACCTGAAGCTGCACAACTTTACAAAGAAAAGGTTTTATTTAGCTCACATCTTAGAGGCTAAAACTCCAAATCAGGTGACCTCATTGGTTCAGCCACTGATGGATGCCCAGTGGTGAATGGCACTGTCTTATAGAGTTTCTATTGCTGCAATGAGACACCATGACCAAAAAGCAAGTTGGGGAGGAAAGGGTTTATTTGGCTTACACTTCAGCATTGCTGTTCATCACTGAAGGAAGTCAGAACAGGAACTCAAACAGGGTAGGATCCCAGAGGCATGAGCTGATGCAGAGGCCATGGAAGGTGCTGCTTACCGACTTGCTTCCCCTAGCTTTCTCAGCCTGCTTTTTTACAGAACCCAGGACCACCAACCCAGGGCTGGCACCACCCACCATGGGCTGAGCCCTTCCTCACTGATCACTAGATGAGAAAATGCCTTACAGCTGGATCTCATGGAGGCATTTCCTCAAGTGAGGCTCCTTCCTCTCTGATGACTCAAGCTTATATCAAGTTGACACACAAAACCAGCCAGTACAGGCACCATGCAAGAGCATGTGTTGGATCAAAAGATCTCATCATGGGGTTAAGAGACAAAAGCAGCCGGAGTGAGGCTTAGTCATTTATAACAGCCATCTATAACAACTCATCCCTACAAGAATTAATTCAGGTCCCTTTCTAAAACATGACCCCTAAGACTTGTGTGCCTCCTGCTAGGCTCCACCTCTTAAAAAAACCTCATATCCTATTGCATCCCACATCACCTCACTGAGGACCAGTCCTCCAACACATGAGCCCTTGGAAAACAAACCACATTCAAACCACAGCTCTGTGCACCATCTCTTTCACCTCAGAGACTCTCATATTCAGAAATTGGCTAAAAAGGGTACTACTCAGAGCATGAATCCAAAGAATCATGGGAATGTCCTCTATCCTTTCTCTCTCTAGTTCTTACTTTTTCTCTCATTCCTTGCTTCATCACCTAGACCAACTATTCATGTTCTAAATCATTTTCCTCTGGAAAGAATCCAATTTCATAATCTATCTTGAAGCTGGTAGGTAAGTGACTTCAACATAACCCTATATGAATAGTAATAACTGGCCATTGTTATAGTGTCACAGATGTGGACACAGCTCTCCAGCTGGTGTCTATGTCTTTTCATGGACTCGTTCATAGACCCTAGTGGTAACTCAGAGGTTCCACAGAAAAAAATTTAACCAAAAAAATAAGAATAAAAATTATCTTTCATTCACCTTTAACAAAGTTCCTCTTTAATTTCTGGTTTTAAAAGAAAAAAAACTGTTGCTTAATAAAGAACGGAAACACAGCTTATATTTCAGAGTTCTAGATAAGCAAGGCATGGCTCAAAAAGGGCAAAGAACTGGATAAAGAAAGCCTGGGGGTCTTTACTGTGAGACCGTGACATAAGTAAAACTGGCCTGATCTGAGTAGGGGCCACAGATCACAGACTTTCATCTTCCTTTCTGTTTTGGGGTCTCTGTCAGTGCATCCTCTCTGTGCAAGCACCACAAAGCATCCTAACACTGAAGTGTCCTCACAGCACTGGCTTCCTGGTCAAGGATGCCTAACAAACCGTCATCCACTGATGGAAGACTGAAAACAGGCCAGATGCCTACCTACAGACTGGTAGTTAAACGGCATGCTGCTCATGGCTGGCTGCTGCCCGAAGTGGCCGTGTGACGGAGGAGAGTGCTGGAGGAGAGTCACGAGCCATGGTTACATTTTTAGAGCTTTATTGGGAGAAAAGGGGGGAGAGGGGGGGAAGAAGAGAAAAAGAGAGGGGGGAGAGAGGGAGGGGGGAAAGAGAGAGAGACCACATGGAAGGAAGGAGCAAAAAGGAAAGAGAGAGAAGAGGAAGGACACACAGAGGGCCCACCCGCTTTTTAGGCTGGGACGCCGTCGAAGGCTGATGTAATTAAGGACAGAATCCTTACACAGACCAAGCAATATTGTCAGACAATTAAAAAACACAGAAGGAACATTTTAAAACTAAAACAACACTATTTCCAAATGATTGTCAAATAAAAACGTAAAATCAGGATTATGATTCAATCATATGTGTGAATATATACAGAAATATCTCTAGAAAGTTGAGGGACAAGAGCCCAGTGCCTGGTGGGAGGTGCAGCACAGTTCT